CTAGACTGAAGGGCTAACCTCTGGCCATCACCTGTGAGTTCTAGACTGAAGGGCTAACCTCTGGCCATCACCTGTGAGTTCTAGACTGAGGGGCTAACCCCCCCCCCCATTAAGATGTTTGGGATTCCTAGGAGGTTGCTGAAGGCAATATCAATGCTAGAGGGGCTTTCAGGCTGGAGTGTGCTGGAGAGATGCTTGGAAAAGCCTTTAAATCTACCCCAGAGCAGCTGGTGGGACACGGAAGGCATCAGGAAAGAGCTGGAATTTTGGGCCACACAGATTTAGTCTTGGCTCTGTTCCTTACAGTCTGGGTGATTTGGGGGAGTTACTAATTGTCTATGTGTCTTAGTTCATTTGTAAAATGAGTTACAATTGCACCAACCTTGGGAGTTGGGAGGAAGAAATAGTGTGTCCAAAGCTCTTGGAACAGAGCCAGGCAATAGTGAGCTCTCAATGAAGGTGACTGATTGTGGTCAGTGTCCAGGCTTCATTCTCAGATACACCATTTAATCAAAGGGGAAGATGACCTCTCTATGCCTCAGTTCCCTCATCTGTAAAATGGCAATAATCTGAGTGCTCCCGCGGTGCTTTGCGAGCATGAGCATCGGTATGCCAGGTGTCCTTCCCAGCCTCCTGGGGATCTCATACTCCTGTGCCTGTGTTCATGCCAGTCTATGTAAGTATAAGGAGAAAGAATCTCTGGGCTTGCCTTCCCCATGTAGACCAGAGTCTGGTTCTGCTGGCGTCAACTGAGTGACAGATAAAGGAAGAGAGTGGCAAAAAAAACTTTGGTTCCTAGAGTGAACCTCTCATACCCTCGGACAGTGGCCACTCTACCCTGATGTTGTCTATCCTCTTTCCCCAGATCAGTTCCTCCTGGAACGATGCGGAGGCTAACGGAGCTGGCCGCTGCTTTGGGCACCCTCTTGGGCCTGCTGGCAGTGGCAGCAACGGCAGACTTTAACCTTCCCCAGCTAGACACCCCCGGCAAGCTGCCTGCCCACCGGCGCCAGAAGAGAGCCTGGATTTGGAATCAAATGCATATAGATGAAGAGAAAAACAGCTCACTGCCCCACTATGTGGGAAAGGTAGGCCTTGGGCTCCGGGGTGATGGAAGTCATCAACAACCGGACTGTAGTCATGGCCACTGTAGCACAGATGGTGATAAATACAGGGGTGGTTGTCACTGGAGGGTGACAGCAGCCAAGATGGAGGTGGTGGAGGTGGTGAACATGGTGGTAATAATGGTGACCACGACAACCGTGCTGTAGTTGTGATAGGGAAGAGGAAAGTGATGGATGGTAATAGTGATGGGGATGGTGGGTAGGAATAGTGAGGGGGAAATAAAGTAGGTGGTGATGGTGATAATGGTGTTGGTGGTGATGGTCGTGGTGGTAGTCTTGGTGATAGTAATTTTGAGAGTGAAAATAAAGGGGATGGGGTTAGTGGTCACGGTAGCTGGGGTGGGGATGGTAGTGAGGATGGTGGTGGTAATGATGATAACGGCAGTGATGGTAAGACGGAAGTTGTATTAGTTCCTTTTCTGTTGCTGTGACAAAAGTATCTTGACCAAAAACAACTCAAGAAAGGAAGAGTTTATTCTGGCTTACTTGTCCAGAGGGATAGAGTCCCTCGTGGGAGGGAAGGCACGGTATGGCAGTAGGCACAAGAAGCTGCCTGGTCCCATTTCATCTGCACAGGAAGCAGAGGGAAAACAGTAAATGAGTCAAGGTTATAGCTCCTCCAAGCCCACCCCCAGGGACACACTTTCTCCAGCAAGCTTCCACTTCCACTATGTCCCATAGTGCCCCCCCCCATAGTGAAAATAACTGCTCAGATAATGAGCCTCTGGGAAACACTTCTCATTCTGAACAGAACAGAAGGTGAGGGGGTGGATAACAATGTGAGTGGAGGTACTAACGGTGATGGTGGCAGGGATGCTGGTGATAGTGATGTGATGATGATAATAATGATAGCAGTGATGGCGAAAGGGAGGGATGGTGAGGAAGTCCATGGCGTCAGTGATAGCGATGACCGCAGTGCTAATAGAAAATGGGAAACTGAGGGAAGTAACAGTGAGGGAGGTGCTGGTGGGTGCCAGCAGTGTTGGTAGTGGTGATGGTAACGGTGGGGGCAGTGGGGGCAGGATTGCGATGTTGGTGGTAATGGAGATGCTGTTGGTAGTTCAGGTGGTGGTGGGAAGTGTGTCAATGATAGTGATAGTGGAGAAGAAGACGATGAAGTTAACTGTGGTGGAGTGATAGTCATGGTCATGGTGGTGATAGGGATGGTGGTGGTGATGGGTGAATAGGAAGGTGAGGAAGCTAATGGGTGGTGGTGCATTTGCTGATTCCTGTTATTTTGTTGTTGTTGTTGCTGTGAGGGTGATTGTTGTGGTGGTGGTGGTGGTGGTGGTGGTGATGGTGGTGGTGGTTGTGGTGGAGGTGGTGGTGGTGGAGGTGGTGGTGGTGGTAATAGCAGTGATAGCAAAGAAGGTGAGGGAGTTAGTGGTTGTGTCGGTGATAGTGATAGCAAGGGTGATGATGGTGGTGGTGATAAGGTGCTTGTCACAGTAATCTAATGGCGGTGGTAATGTCAGTGATAATAAAGATAATGATGGTGAGATAGTAATACTAGCTGTCATGATGATAGTGAAGGGGAAGGGAGGGAGTTAGTGGTAATGGTGGTAGCCGTGATGGTGGGGAGGAAAGGTGGTGGTGGTAGTGGTAATGATGACTGTCACAGATAGCGTAGAAGGGAAGGGAGGTTACGGTCGTGATGATCGTTGTGATGGTGGTGATGGTCATGATGATCTGATGATGGTGAGAATGGTAGTGATGGTAAAGGGGAAGGTGGGGAGGTTATGGAGGTAGTCATAGTGGTAATGACAGTGGTAACAATGATCATGGTGGTGATAGGAAAGAAGAAGGTAATGGAAGTCACATTATGGTAACAGTAATCTGAATGAGGAGGTAACAGTTTTTTGAGTTGGATCTTAAGATGCCTCCCAAAGGTCATGTGCTAAATTTGTTGTCAGCCTGTGGTGCTATAGGGAGTAGGGCCTAGTGGGAGGTCATCAGCGGTGTGCACCCAAAGGTGATATTGGGACTCCAATCCCCCCACACACACATGCTCTGCTTCCCAGACACCGTGAGGTGAATAGGCTAGCTCTGCCATGGGTTTTCCTCCACATTCTTCTCTCTTTCCACAGGCTCAATGCTACACAGCCTTTTGAGATTAAAGGCATGGTCTTAGTTTTGAGCCTTTAAATTAGTGCATTAAAAACAAACCAAATACTTTACAACAGGATAGTAGGAAAGATGCCCTTAGGGTACCTCAGGAACCAGCAAGACACCACCCATCTCAGGTCCAAAGACTTTTGGGAAGAGAGCTCCAGAGCCCCTACACTTACAGGACTGACTAGGGAATCATTTCCCCTGTGTTTAATCAATCAGACATTCAGAGGCCACTGTGCTCATGATCTGAGGTGGCCTGGCTATTTCTGGAGCCAGTGATGTACCTGGGCATCATTTTCATGAGGCTGGTGTGTGGGTATGCAGATGTAACAGTTATGGGGTCACAAAGGGAAAACCTGGAAGGTCAGATAGCTTGGCAGTTATGGAGTCAGTGAAGGCATCCCCTGAGAAGATGGCCTCTGAGTCAGGGAAAATGAAGGTGAATCTCTAATAGAGATTCCAAAAAGTTAGATATGCCAGAAACACAGAGGTAGAGCTGGATCAAAGGGGATACCATGGAGGCTGCAAAGAGACAGGCCACAGGGAACAGGCTGCCTAAGGCCTTTGAATGTTACATCATTATGCCTTGGACTCAAGATGTCAGAAATGGAACTCTAAGATTCAATGTTTTCCTTGCTAGATTTCTATCATACTTGAGTCCAATTCTTCCTTTTTGTCTTGGTTTCTTTTATGTTTTCTGTGATGGAGTATTTTGACAAAAGCAACTTCAGGGAGAAAGGGTTTATTTTGGCTCAGGCTTCAAGGGTACCGTCCATCATCGAGGGGAAGTCAAGGCAGCAGGAGGTTAATGCAGCTGGTTCTATTACATCCACAGTCAAGAACAAAGCAATGGATGCTTACTCAGCTCGCTTTCTCTTCTATATACAATCCTGGACCTCTGCCCAGGGGCTGGTCCCACTCACAATGGGTGAGTAGTCCTCTCTCAATTAAAAACAAGAAAGTCCCTCAAAAGCATGCCCAAAGGCTATCCTGACATAGACATCCCTCACAAGTGAGCCCAGAAACTTGTCTCATGAGTGATTGTAGATCCAGTCAAGTTGGCAATTAACACTTACCATCACACTTTCTCCCTTATGGGACAGGAATGCTTGTCCTGTTCCACTGTATCTTGGAGTATGTAGCTTGGCTTTTATTTTTAAAGGCTCAGAAGCTTCCTTGAGTCTCAGAAGACATTTGTGAACAAAGGAGGAATTGTAGCTACTGTAGGGACTCTTGCAGATGGGTTAAATCCACAATGTTGGGAGACAAACATGAGCCCTTGGTAGTAAGAGCCAGAATGTTATCATATGGGGCTGGCAAGATGGGTCAACAGATGAGGGTAGTTCTGTACAAGCCTGACAACTTGAGTTCAAATGTGGCAGGAAAGAACACACACACACACACACACACACACACACACACACAACCCTACACTAATTTAATTAATTAAAACGGAATGTCATAGTTTGGGTCTTCAATGTCCCCTAAAGACCATGTGCTAACGGTTGTGGCCCCCATGGGGATGGTGAAATATTTCAGAGCAAGACCTAGGAGAAGAAAGTTAGGTCATTAGGGATGTTCCCTTGAAGGAGATATGGGGACCCTGGCCCCTCTTCTCCCCCTTTGCTTCCTGAGTGTCATTAGTGAACCCATCTCCTCTGCTACATACTTCTACCAGGAAATACTGCCTTACCCCAGGCCAAGACACAGAGTCTCGTGATCATGGGTGGTGGTCAGTGACCGTGGCAGTGACGGTGACACTTGTATTACTTTCCCATTTCTTTCTCTGCTTTTTTCCCTTTCTTTATTCTTCTCTCATACGATACATCCTCACTAACCCCTTCTCTCCCCATCCTCTCTCCCCCAGATCCACTCCTCTTCCATTTCCCTTCTGAAAAGAGCAGGCCTGCCGGGGATATCAACCAAACATGACATCACAAGAGGCAATAAGACTAGGCATAGATCCCCATATGAAGGCTGGATGAGGCAACCCAGTAGGAGGTAACGGGTCCCACAAGCAGGCAAATAGTCAAAGACACTCCCCACACCCACTGTTAGGAGTCCCACAAGAACACGAAGCTACACAACCACAGCATGCATGCAGATGACCTAGTGCAGACCCATGCAAGTTCCATGATAGTGGATTCAGGCTCTGTGAGCCCCTGGGAGCCCTGCTTAGTTGATTCTGTGAACCTTGTTTTCCTGGTGCCCTCGACCCCTCTGGCTCCTACAATCCTTCCTCCCCATCTTCTGCAGGGTTCCCTGAGCTCTGCCTGGTGTTTGGCAGTGGGTCTCTGTATCTGCTCCCTCTCATGACTGGGGCCTCAATTTGACCAGCCATTGGTTGCTCACTCCCATAAGCTCTGAGCCACTATTGCCCCAGTGCATCTGGCAGGCAGGACTGGTTGTGGGTCATAGGTTTTGTGGCTGGGTCGATGTAAATGTCCCCTCACTGGGAGCCTAGCCTGGTTACAGAAGACGGGCAGTTCAGGTTCCGTAACCTCCATTACTAGGAGTCCTTACTAGGGTCACCCTCAGAGCTTTCAGGAAATTTCCACTGCACTAGGTTTTCACATTGCCTCCTAAATGCCCACCTATTCCAGTCCATCTCTCCCAGTACTCTCTCCCTCCACCCCTCCCTCCATGACCTGATCGCTCCTGTTCCTATCCCCACCTGCCCCAGTCCACCCACAAAATCTATTCTATTTCCTCTTCGCAGGGAGATCCATGCTTCCCTCATAGACCTCTCCTCTTTATCTAACTTCTCTTGGCCGGTGGATTATGGTGTGATTATCCTTTCCTTAACACACCCCACAAGGAGCATCTCAAAGGAAGAAGGGTTTACTTTGACT